AATTCTATAGCCTTTCTAAGTTCTGCTTCATCCTTCCTTAGCTCTGTTGGAATTGGCTTACCCTCTAATAAAACAGATTAAAAACACTATAAATTGTGAAGCTTGTTAACAAACCACCTTACATGGGGTTCAACTGCATAAACACACTTTGTTTGTCACTACTTTACTTTGCGAACAGGCCTCCCAAAAGATATCTCTCAAGTGCAATACTTTGAACCTCTTTCAGGCTTTTGCTACATTAAAAAAGAAGTTAAACAAGACAAATGCCTTGGCCAGTCAAATGACTCATTTTGTGATATATTCCTGTAGGAATAATGAATTTATGGGGTTATACGGAAATCTTACCGGATCTGTTTACAGCGGAAAGTCAACTCACGGTCGACAAATTAAAGCAAAGACATTTCATCCGCTCATTTAGTTACTAGTAGTGTATACTACAACATGGTGGATTTGGACACGGCACATTTCATGACACTGTTGTTCAAGACATGCGAAAGGACGATGAACAGTCACCATGGACATTAAAAGTCATTACCTTCCTTGAAAATGATCAAATTTATTTAAAGTAAACTGCATCAATAGAAAAACCAAAGGAAAAATGAAGCTAACCTTCAAGTGCTATCTTCAACTTTTTTTTTCGCTCATAGGTGGATCTTTCCTTTTCTTCCACCGATTTGCGATAGATATACTCTCTCCTTAGTCTAGCCTGTCTTCTAAGCTGTTGATAAACGAAGAAAAACAGTTAAATAATGGTTGAAAATAGAAAAATATCTAAGATCAAAAATGCAAAACAAAACCACGTGTAAAAGCCCACCATCTTGGATTGTATTCGGTCCCAGTCCTTCATGGACTAAGCCCCTTAGCGACCAAGCCTCTACCTGCAGAATCTTTTTTACGATTTGCAAGAAAATTATCTGACACTTACTCTTTGTGATCCCTGCTACCACTTTATTTCTTGCTTTATTATTTAGGCAAAGAAAAAAAGCTATATAATTTTTTAAAAGGGTTACAAACGTGCGTGACATTTGCGCCTAGATACCGTTCTAAAAATAAACAACAACTGATCATGGAAACTTCTACATTGTTAATTAATTGTTTTCAATTGATCAGTGTAAATACTCCTTACTGTCAAGTTCCAAAGTGAAAAATACACCGAGTCTGTGTAGATATCGACAACCGGAGAAAAATCAAAAGTTCCAGCAATGTGTCGAGATGAATTTCGCTTGAGAAATTTCAAACTATGGCATCCTTTTTTGCAAGATTTCACACATTCGCGGGTGAGTCATTATCGTTACATCGGAACACTTGAAATTTAAGTGTTTCTTCTAAGATGACAATCACTAATTTGTAACCTAACCAAATAACACTAATACGCGACGCTGAATTTAATTCTTGACAACACACTCGTCAAACTGGATATTTTCGCTTTTACGGTTCGGGAATCTGTTTACACCGCTAGGTAATGCACAGCTATCTGATAAATCAGGTTCCCTTCGTAGCCGAAATTATGCAATATACGATCAAAAGGAGTTGCAACACCAAGCTAGTTCTTCAAAACCTTATTGTATTAAAGAAAGGCTTGCTCTGGCCAGTGTTTTAATGTGCCAAATCGTAGTGACAAAGCACGGCCGCAAGGGATATAAATCATAATTTTCCTAGTCAATTACTTTTACTTGAATTTGTTCTGAGCTAATTTTCAGATCTTAAGTTAAAGCCGACAACGGAACTCGATAAAAATCTGAAGGAAAAAAAAAGAATTTGCCACAAAGAGCCCGCCTTTAGTGATGATTTTTGTTAGAGCCCAGTTACGTAACTGTCAGTAATAAAGATGCATGTCTTTCATTATTTGTAGAAAGATTGTTTTCCTTGCTCCATTTATACCGGGTACGGACTAAGCTATGTAGTAATTTTAGGTGGGAATTTAATCCATTTCACCTTTTGCCTTTGTTTTGCTGCAATAAGGTTTTTGTTGTAGTAAAGGCACATTTTTAGTAACCGAAAAAATGGTACATCCTGTCATCAAAACATAAATATTTTTACATAGATCTGAACAGGTATCATATGAAATCACTTGCAAAATAAACTTATAAAAGGTATTCAAAGAAAGTCTGTAAGTATTGCTCAAGAACGTTTGGTTTCGAAACAAGTATAAGACAACAGCTTACTACAACTTAAAACCTTCAGATGAAAAACAAGAACCCCCTCTAAAACCCTCCACCAAAAATATATTAGTTTATGTTTTCATGCACCATCTGCTCCGATCTGCCCTTTGTGTTGTCCGCGGTAGGTGGTTGAGTTAAGCGTTTGTTGCAAATGGAAAATTTAAACTAGTTGCAAAATTGCGAGCCCTTTTCTTCTTTAATCTAAAGTACAATGTTGATCCGGGTGAACGG